CGCGCTCGTTCACCTAAACTGAGAGCGAAATTAACTTTTGCCGGCTTTTTTGGGCCCCTGCGCAAAGGAGGGAGGAAAAACTGCAATCGCAGCAGCAATAGCAACAGCGGCAGCGGCAGCAGCAGCAGCAGCAACAGCAACAGCAGCCGCTACGAAAAACTAAAAAAAGCGCATCAAACAAAATCGTCAACTAAAAATAAGCACATCTTTGTTGTTATCGTTTTTGTTGCCGTTATTGCTTTGGTTTTTGTTTTTGATTTTGTTTTTGCTTTGGCATTTAGTGAGAGCACGCGCTTGGCGTTGCGTTGGTTGAATTCATAGGCGCATTTGTATTCGTTCGTGACAGCTCTGTTGCCAAGCACCGAAGTGGAAGGAGGGAAGAGGAGTGCAGCGGGCTGCGACACCACTCCCCCTCCCACCGACACAGCGTCCCATGCATTATTGTCGCTTTTTACACTATCCTTTGACTGACAGTTCTTGGGCAATTTTCAATTTCAATTGATTTCGTCGTTCAAAAAATAAAACCTTTACGTGTGCGTGTGTGTGTGTATGCTTGTGTTTGTGTACGTGCGCTCGTATGTGAGTGTTTATTTTTTTTTTTTAGCCAAGCAATTTGCTGGCACAACAACAAATTGGGTCAACCACAATTAATATAACTAAATATAGCTAAAACAAAAATCCATCTGCAGCACCTACAACAAGAACAGTAATCGCAACCGCAACAGCAACAAATAATGCTGATAACAGTACATAAGGAAGTAGAAGTGCAAAAGCTTTTACCGTTAGAGTGACGACAAATCCTAATCGTGAGAGAACATAATGCTGGTGCAGGTGACAAAAATGTCGAAGGATTTTTAAATTGTTTTAAATGATTTTTTTTTTTTTTAGATTATTTTTTCTTTAATATAGATTATTATGCAACAGGTAAAATTAAACACTAAACTAAAGATAGTTTTACACATAGCATATTTCAAAAAAAAAAAAAAAAAAAAATTATTTAATTGTTTCTTTGCTTGGTTGGCAACAAGATTGAAAAACCTTCAACATATAAAAACACATTTTTTTTCTTTTTTTTTTTTCAAAGGTATAAATTTGTTGGCTGCTAGACGGTCTTCAAAAAACTTAATCGGGAAAGAGAGAGAGCGAGAGAGAGGGGCGAGAGGAAGAAGGGAGAGCGAAACAGAGCGCGATAAACGTTTTCAGTCAATTAGCACATTTAAAATAATTCAATGCAGGAAAACAACTGAACTACTTACTGACTATAGTGTGTGTATGTATATTTATGTATATGTTTATATATGCATATAGATTAATCTGCATGAAGATCATCGTTGTCATATAAAAGCAGCCCATAACTGGAACTCACTGGGTAGAGAGAGAATGAATTAGTAAATGGTTTATGTACACGGCTTTACATCCGGAAAATAAGAGTTGAGCCACAAATCTGCATATAAAAAAGCATGTATGTATTTATGTAAACATATGAGATATCTATTTGTGCTACATGATGCTCATCGCGTCTAACTAGATCAGATCCGATAACAGCTCAGCTCATTTGTTATGCAGACTTTATGTAGGCTTTTCTTTTCATCCAATTCTAAAAGATTTTTCAAATGTTTTCAATAAAATACAAATTATTTTTAATTAAATATTTAATGTTGGAAAACAATAGAATTTTATTATTTTTATTATTTTAACGTTTTCTTAATGTATTACAAAAAAATAAAAATAAAATAAAATAAATTGAGTTACTTTTTATTATAATTTCTTATTGAGCATTCTAATAAATATTACAGGTTTGTTTGTTTGTTATTAGTTTGTTTGTTTATTTTATTTTGTTTTTCTAATTTTATCACATTGAAAGTGTATCTTCAAGTGTTCGACGTGTTTTGCTTGCTTTACTTTGTTGTCAAATCTCTTTTTCCTTACAGTTGCTGTTATTGTTGTTTTTGTTTTCTGTTTCTGTTTCTGTTACTGTTGTTGTATAACAGCGCACACGAGAAATTGTCGCCGGTTGTTGCTGCTGCGCTGTTTCTGTTGTTGTTGTTGTCTTTTTGTATTTGAATTTTAAGTTTTGTTTGCATGTTGCGCATCGTTCGCATTGTTATTGTTGTTGCTTTACACAAACACACACCCGCACATACACATACACGCACACACGCATACGTGCGTTCTTCTACATACATATGTACATACATATATGTATGACTATGTATATATACATACAGTCGACTCTCGTTATTTCGAACCGGCGATATTTCGAACCTCTCATTAATTACAAAGTAATCACGAGCCCCCTACAAAATCTCTTTATATTTCGAATAATTCCCATACATTTTTATGTAGTCAGTAATTCTTGGCGTGTTAGCAAGAACTTTGATTTTGAATTTATACTTTGGATTCCCTCGAAACTACCTTTTCTCATTATCTATTGTGAAACAGCATATAGGGCACTTTTTCTCCTTAACAAAAAAGTCTGAGCAGCAGCAATATTTTTCGAAGCAAACCCGTACAAATGAATTTGAACATTAGTTGACTACGTATATATAAAATATCAGCAGTTAAATAAAAACCCTTGATAATTCCAAGTTGTTTTTATTTTCTCTCAATATTTCGAACCATTTAAAATTTCAAACATTCGATAATTCGTAATATTTTAAGAGACCCCTGAATTTCAAAATAACGAGAGTAGACTGACTGTGTATCTTATCGCGCTGGCAATACAAAGTTCTTTTTTGCTACTGCTTTTGTATGTGTATGTGTGTATGTGTGTATATGTGTATGTGTGTATGCACATACATGCATATATGTAGATATACAAATGTACTGTGCGAGCTAAATGCATACATACATAATTATTTTCATTTTTTATGTAATCAACAAAACAGCGGCCACATGCGGCGGCGGCAGCACCGCCAGCGCTGGCTTCTCGGCCGCCGCCACTGCCGCTGCCGCCAGTTGCTTCCCTCCTTTGCCAAGGTTCTCAAAAAAAGCACCAAAGACACCAACACCAACGCCACAGCACACGCACACATACAAGATGTGTGAGGTGCAAAGTCATAGCGTCAACAAAAGCCAAAGCGAACGCGTGAGAGAGACAAAGAGAGAGAGAGAGAGAGAGAGAGACGAGGGAGCGTCGTTAGTCTTGTGCCGAGTGGGTGGGCAGCAAAAGCGTCGCCTGCCTGCCAATGCGTGCGATGCTCGATGCTCTTTTTCGCCTCCTCTCACACTCTCCCAGCCACTGCCTTCAATCCCTTTCGCAGACGTCATGTCAAAAATATTATGCCTTCTGCGCGCGTGTGTGTGTGTGTCGGTGTATTTGTATTCAATTAGTTTTTAATGGGGGCGTTGTAGAAATTCCAATTGATTTTTAAGCACACGCACACAGAGCCTAAGTTGTCTTTATCATTGCATAATCTCTCTTTGTTGTTGCATGCTAATTGCACACAAAGCTTCTATTTTTTTTTTTTTTCTTGTCCTCCTTTTTCTTTTTCTGCCATTTGAAGCTCACGAGCTCAGAGCTCCGTCGATGCTCAAGCAGAAGTCAAACACAATGACGAGGTCGCTTTATCACAAAATTCAAACCTCGCTACGTCAAAACGAATCAACAAATACAAATATGACACGACTCGCGATGCGCGACGCTCTCGCTCTCGCTCTCCCTCTCTGTTTCTCTTTCTCTCTCCCTCCCACTCACTGTCTTTCTTGCTCTCTCTTAATCTCATATGTAAGCAAAAGCTGAGAGCTGAGAGCGAATCGCACTAACAATGCAAATCCATAAAAGGCTGATCGCAAAAACAAAAACAATAACAATAACAACAAATAGCCAAACAATTTATAAAGCACGAGCAGTGGCGTCGCGACGCGTCGTCAAGGGACGCCAACGCTGACGTTGACGTCGCAACGCTACGCTAACGCTCTGTTTCTATTTTCCTGCTGACGCAGACACTGGTGGGGGAGAGAAACGAAGCACACTATTTCTCTCGTGAGCGCGTAACGGCAAAACGACGACAACGACCACAACAATAATAACTAACTGAAACCGAAGACGCCGTTTCGGATGCCACTGTACATCGCATTAGCTCTGAATTCGAATGCAAATCAATTAATAATCAATATTTAGATAGTTTCCATTCTAGCTCGATTTGCATGAGAATATGAGTTCAATGCATGCATTAACTCACTACAAATGACCCAAATATAATCTCTGATGATTGTGACGTCACGAATATACTATACATGTAGATGTACATACATATACATATAAGCACACCTTTCATGTCAGATCTGTCACTGGGTTGCCATGTGCCATGTGTGCACATATATTACAAATTTAAAATAATGATATATATAAAATAAAAATACAAACAAAATATTCTTTTAGAATATTATGCGCAGCAAATAAATTATAACAAAGACGCAAAGAATAACAAAATATAGCGTGCCTCTCTCTCTCTCTCTCTCTCTTTCTCTCTCTAGCACACACTCGCTCTGTGTGTTCGAGGCAGGCACATAAGTGCGGACGACACTGTAGCAACAAAACGTACAAATGCGGGCGACAATAATTGTTGACCACCTCACACCACCCCCTAACCACACGACACAGAGAGCTGATCGTTTGCAGTTGCATTTCAATTCCAATTGTTGCTGACTGTGCGCTGGCAGCGACGCCGCCGCGTGCGCCTTTGCTGCGGGCCACTGCAGCAGGGGGCGTCAAATTTACAGCTACAACAATAACAAACCACAAAGAGACGCGGGGGTCGACGTCTCTGCCAGCAGTATGCAGTAGCAGTTTTTTTTTCTTCTTTTATTTTGTTTTCGGTTTTGATGTGACCAAATTTTCGTATTGACACACAAACACAAACACACACACACATACTCACACACTCACTCACGCACACATAAACAAATAAAAAATATATATATACACACGACGTTATGTTATTATTGAATTTATCTACATTTGTTTCATTTTGTCTTGCTTAGTATTTTGCACTCACGTTTTCTTATTGATGTTGCTATCAGAGCCAGCTTCGCTGCTCCTCTCTCACAATGCAACGTCAGCGTCGCTGCTTGGATTCTTGTTTGCTTATCTCCTGCTCTCTTTTGTCTCTGTTGTGGGCGGCACTTGCCAAGCTTTTTACGCACTTTTTGGTTTTGCGGATTGATGTTGTTGTTCGTCTTCTTCGTCCTCTTGAACGTTGTATCGACCAATTAATTAACACTGCACGCGAACGCGCCACACAAAAAGTTTGCCAAAGACGGCAAAAGTCAAAAAGCAACCAATAAAAAAAATAAATGTCAAATAGGCAAAAAGAATATAGTATATATATACATATATATGTAAATATTTAGCGTTTATGTTTGCACATTATCCAAAATCAAAGTCATCAGAATTATCGCAGTGACGTTTTGTTATAATTTCTATATTATTATTTTTCAGTTAATTTCTAAGTGTTGTCTTGACACCGCACGTCCGTTGCGCTGAAAGGCACAATGCAAAATGAATGAGATTTACAGAACTCTGACAGTGGCGACAACGGAACGAAGAATGAAACGATACACAAAACGAAAGGCACAAGGCGGCAACGCGGCGCAGTCACCTATGTATGTGCGACTCACAATGGGCTCAGTTCACTGTGCTGGACTACACCACTCAGTTTATTTTATTCATTAAAATTTTACTCTCATTTTCAATTAATTACTTTATGACATTTAACAAAAATTGAGTTTGGATATTTTAGCAATCACTGTTGTTTGTATTCATATAAAATAAGAATTTTGTCCACAGTGCAACTGTAAGAATTACCGTAGCAGTCGGCTTGCGTATGTCTGCCTCTATACCTGCCTGCGTGTTGTGTACGTGTATGTTTGTGACTGAGAGCGAGAGCTAGGGAGAGTGCGTGTATTGGCGCTCCCGCTGTTAGACTTTCTGTTTGTTGTTGTTGCTGTTGATGACGCTGTTGTTGCAACTTGTCAACACATTGACGTAAACTGACAGCAACCGCAAAGCCAGCCTGTTTCATTTAAAGTATTGGAATTTGTTATTGCCGCCTTTTGCAAATTTCATTTGTCTAAAAACACAAATGACACTCACAATTATTTACATTTTAATTGCAAAAACAAAATCTTGTTTATATGATTTTGACGCACGCATACTAAAGCAAGCATAGCTCGCATACAAAAACATATGACTGCGCTCTTTTGGCATTTCGCTATTGTGCTTGTGTGTGTGAGCGAATGAGTATATGTGCGAGTGTATATATGTTAAGATCGTAAGAGAGCGAAAGAGCAAGATCAAAGCGCGTGGCAAACACATGGTTTTTGTTTTTGGCAGAAAAAAGAAGAAGTAGCAACAGCATGGATCGCTTACAGTTAGTTCAAGTGTACTTGTTTGTTGTTGTACTTTGTATTGCACAGTGGGACTAGATGTGATCGAATGACAAAGCTTTTATATGTATATATGTACGTGTATCATTAAGTATAACCGTTTCACACATGTGTACATGCTTATTCGTGGAATTTGATTTACATATGTATAGTTTTTAAAGGAAAAATATGACGTTAAAATAATAATAAAAATATAATTATAATATACATATGTATGTATGTATGTACATGTGTTAATTATGTATACATACATATATATTTATTCGATAGAATTAATGTAGACATGTGTATGTATGTATGTAAGTCTATATTTTTCAATTTCCTTTGGAAAAAAGCTGTTTGAAATACTCCAATTTCATAATTTTTATATCTACCGATCATTTATCCAAACCGATATGTACATAGATATGTACGTATGTATGTATGCGTGAAAGTATACATATATATTTGTATATTTCGTTTATACATATATGACAAATATATTGGAAGGTAATAGTATTTATAAAAATAATGTGTGTACACCATAAAAATTATATGTATACATGTATGAATGTATCTGTGCAACTACATATACATACATACATATATGTGCACATGTGTCACACGTTGAGAGGCAAAAAAGTCAATCACACATACACAACCGCAACATCAGACGACGCCATCGTTTGCGCCCGACGCTGAATTGCCCATCGACACCCGCCCGCAAATAACAAAACAGCGTCACCGACAACAATCGCCGCCTGTTATCATTCTCATTCTCGCTCTCTCAGCTTGGCGTTTGTTTCTCTCTGCCCCCTGTCGCTTTCTCGCTCCAACTTTGTCTGTCTCTCGCTCTTGCTCATCTGCCCGTATATACTGTTTAGTACTTTAGCGCAATATATCGGCATTTAGTTGATTTAGGCTAGGTATGCTAACAACAAACAAAAACGCAAAGTGCATATCAAATAAGAAGCTTACGAAAATAAAAAAATCCTTAATATGCATAATGATTGATGTTTAAATTTTTAATTTTTAAAAAGTGATCATATGTACATATGTACATAATTACAATAATTAATTTTGGTGACTTGATATAAATAAATGACAAACATTAAATTGAGAACTGATTATGATTTATGTATGCGTATTGCTCATCATATTCGTGAACATTGTCTAAAACAAAGTGGAAGCTAAAATGCCGTTACTGTTTCTCCGCTGCGTGTGTGTTGCGCTCTAATTTTGATCACGAATCGCACACGCATACTCACAAACATAAACACAGACACGAATACATGTGCACACTCAAGCAGCAGAAGCACATGCACGTACATACTACGTATGCAGCCAGGCAAGGCAAGCCGCCAGTGGGGCAAACGGCGACGCACTTGTTCCACGTCGCACTATTAATGAAAATGAATTGTAATGCGAACGTGTTAATTAGAGAGAGATAGCGATGAAGAGAGCGGCTTTTTTTGTCAATGTGTTTGTGTTTGCACTGGTCGTTGCCGATGTAAAAACAAACAAAACAAAAAGCAAAGCATAAGCTGAGTAGTGCACAAAGTGTGGCAGAATAGACACAACTACTACTACTACTACTACTACTACTACGACAACAACAACAAGAACATCAACAGTAAAGAGAAAGCCAACCAATAAGCAACAACAATATAGCACGAGTTCTTATCGTTTTGCCACTCAATTATACAAATTTTCATGATTTGCTATTGCCATTTTTGTACTGCAGCTGGCGTTGATGGCGATGCCGACGCCGACGCCGACGCAGACAGAAGCGTCGCGCACACAGCAAAACATTTTGCGACGCTCACGTAATTGAAACGTCGGTGGCGGCTTTTACTCTAATTGGAATTGTTGTATGCCCGTTTTCCGGCCGGTTTTGGCCAAAGCGATTTTTTTAACGTGGCCGGCCAAAAGTAAATACACACATGGGCAGAGATAAAATGTATATATGTATATAAATACATATGTATGTATGTACATATATATGTTTGTTTGTACATACTATACCTATAAATGTTTAAAATATACATACATACATACATGCATGTACATATGAATATGTATGCTTGTATATAAAAAATAGAACAAATGAAGCAAAAAGAGGCAGAGAGTCAGAGTTAGCGGCATTAGCTGAGACTGCGACTGCATATAAGAAGCAGAAAAACTAACAAACAAAAATTATGTGGGCCACGCTGAGCGCACTAGAAGGAGAGAGGAAAACTCATAGAGAGAGTGAAACGGAGAGCGCGCGCATTGGCTTGATAAGAGCGCCCTCCAAAATTGTTTACTCACAGTTTTAGACGCTACTGTCCCCATGCGGTCAATCTGGTCGTTGCTTTAAAACCTCTCACTCTCTCTCTCTCTCTCTCTCTCTGTCGATGCTGAAATACAGACACAGCGCATTTAAAGTTATACAATCCGCTTAAATCCAATAAGCAAGTGAAATTACTTGATTGGAAATTGCGATGCATGGAAATTTGAAGAGCTTCAATGAGAGCAGCAAAAACCAGTTAGAACAACACAAAGAGAGCGAAAGAAAGAAAGAGAGAAAACTATAAACAGTTAAACAGGTGAATAACAACAATGAATCGACAGCGTGAGAGCGTGCAAAAGCTTACACCATACAGATGCAAAATCCAAAAATACAAAGAAAAACAAAAACAAATACAAAAGAAAAGAAAAGAAACAAAACACATACACTACACACACACAGTTGTACGCACAGCGCGTGTTGAGCGCGCACAGTGTGACCAGTAGTAGCGATAATGTTCCGAATCTAAGAGCAGTCACGCTGCGCCGTCAACACGTGATGACAGAGAAATACAAACATACATACATAGGTAGGCATGTATGTATATATACATACATACATATATAAACGAAAATGCGTGTACTGTCAAGATAACGCAAAGGCAAACGAGCGAAGGCAATCTTTTACGTCACCACATTGTACCGTGCAGGCAGACAGCGACAAATGTGGAGATCAACACAGATCACTTACTCAACCCCAAAACGTGAACGCAAACCGAAATGTTTAAATGGCATTTTCCTAAACTATACACACACACAACACACCTACAAATACTCATGCACGTATAGACACACACATATATACATATGTACATACATATATGTGTTTGTTTGTATAATCATGTGATACCAAAAATAAAGAAAAATGTGAAAATCAAATAACAGCGACTGCGACAAGGCACTAAAAAGTCACAAGCAAAAGTGGAGCAATAAAGCAAATAGTCGAAACAGAAACAGCCAAAAAAAAAATAGTGTGTGCATACACTCACACAAAAGCACACAGTTGCATAGCTATATGCATGTGTGTGTGCGCGGCAACAGCTTGTCCATTTCTAATAGGTTGTATTTGCAATTTACAGCAAGAGTAAATCTATGCAAATAGCTACAAGCAAACGCAAAGGCAAAAGCTAAATCAAAAACAAAAACAATACAAATACAATAGCAACAGCAAACAAACAATCAAAAGATACGCACAAAAAATGTCTCGAGACGCCGCCTGTATTAAATTTCAATGAAAATGAAAACAGAATGCAGGAGAAAAGCTTTTCTACACACATGCATGCATGCATACATATATATATATATATATGCATATATATGTATATAAGCTTTCATACATATTTATATATGCAAATACATACATACATATGTACATACATTCAGTAAGAACCCAATCAGCACTGGACCATCGAATGTCAAATACCCTATATACATACATACATATGTATGGATGTGTATATATATGTATGTACATATGCATTTATGCAAGGGGCTATACCCACATACATACATATTTACATACATACATATGTACATAATTAATTTAAATAGGTCATGGATGGATAAATAAATAAGTTATTTTTGTTTGTAAAATAAATTTACTTCCCATATTAAAGCATGTAAAAATGGTCATGTTCCTTGCATAGAGAGTTTAATATGTGTGCGCAAACACGTGCATGCCTGTGCGCGTCAGTCACTCACACACACACTCACTGCTTATAAAAGTTGAGACGTAGGTAATATACTACTGCTACTAGCGCGCACATCAAACAGAGATGAAAAAGCAATACAGAAATTAGGCAAGCAAAACCAAAATTGTAAAAACAATCTTAGCGCAGTTAGCGATGTCGGGTAAACAGAATAGAGAGAGCATAGCCAGACAGAGAGAGAGAGAAAGCGTTCCAAAATCGTTGACAAGCTTTAGAAGCAGCTTGAACGATGCACAGTGTCGCGAGTTTCTTGTACAATCGACTTGTGAAGGGTTGGCGATCACAATTGTTATGACAATCGATATGAGTATTTGTACTCTTTATAAAATTTCGTTGTTTTTTTTTTTTTTTTTTTTTTTTTTTTTTTTTTTTTATAAAATTCATAAATAGTATTACAGCCTATGAAATTTTGTTTTGTTTGTTTATTTTTATTTATTTTTTTCATGCACAGCTTTAGCAGTTTGTTAACCACTGTAAATCGAGCTACATATGTTTGTTTGTGAGAATCGGCGACTCGGTGAGGTCGTGTTGTCGATGTCGTGTTTTGTTTTTTGTTGTTGCTGTCGCTGTGTCTGGTTTGGTTGAGCGAAGGGCGTGTGTTGGGCGACGGACAGTGGGTGCACACTTTAAATTTGTTTGCATTAAATACATGTGTWAATGCACAGACGCACACACATGCACATGCCAACATTCATACATACGTATATTGTATATATGCATGTATGTATGTAGATGCATTTGTGAGAGAACGAATAAGTGTGTAAAAATAGGCAAAACAAAAATTGCCGCAATTTAATTTTTTTTTTCTATTTTTATTTTCAAACCGATTTTTGTTACCGACTCCAATTGTCGTTTTAAAGCAGTTTTCACTTGTTATTCGTTTTATGTGTGTTCTTTTAGTTTACTCTGTCATCGATCTTCGTTGGCATTTGTTTTTGTTTGTGCTATGGAGTTTGATATTGAATTTTGCTCATTGCTGAGACGAGCAAGTGTTCCAGGTATTGACCATGATATCGACGTCGTCGTCGTTGATGCTTTTGTTCTTTTTGTTTTCTTTTCATCTAACCAGCTAAATAGTTGAATAACAAATGTACAAGTGATTAATAAAAAGCAATAAAATAAAGCAACAGCGTACAAAACGACAACAATGCAAACAAATACACACTAATACAATACACAGCCATAAGGCACAAACGTTTGGTCTCTCACTCTCTGTCTCTCTGTTTCTCTGCCTTGCTCTCGTTCTTAGACGCTCTTAAGCGTTCAATTGCTCTTTCATGGTTTGCGCTCTTGCGGCATCGCAATGTCAACAGACGCAAAAAAAAACGATCCCGTTTACATTAGCTATGCTCAGCGCGGTATTTTGTTTAGAGTGCTTAGCTTGATTGATTTATTCTAACAATAGTAATTAATTTTTTTACTATGTGTAATAGTACATTATCTTTTTAGTAATCTAAATGTGACATTCGTTACATATACATATATACACACACATATGAATATATGTGTACATTCTTACAACTCTATCAAACTGTTGCTTACAAACAAAGCTATGAAAATCCGTTTAAAATTATTTGGTGGTTGTTGTTGTTGTCTCTTTTTTGTATTTGGCGACGTGCTGCCTCAATTAGTGCGCATTTCGCATGTGAGAGAGCTGCACGCAACAACAAAACACACGCACACTATTCTTTTAGTCTTCTGTATATATATATATATGTGTGTGTGTGTGTGTGTGTGCGCTCGTATGCCGGTGGATCATGAGAGAGCCAGGCAATGGCTGGGGAAGAGAGGTCATGCGTATATACATATGTACATACTTACTGTGTGTGTGCGTTGTGTAAGAACAAGCAGCAGAAGTGATATATGTACATATGTACATATGTATGTATATCTGTATGTTGGTATATATGTATATATAAGTATATATTTTTTTGTATATCTGTATTTACGCATTTTTTCAGCATGATATGTGTGTATTTTTGTTGTTGTTGTTTTTAAATACAAGTTTGTTGTGCGTACAAACATGCAAAATAAAAAAAAACAATACAATGTATGTATGTAATTACGCACATGTATAAATATGCATGGTTGGATATGTATGTACATATGTAGGTATGTACATATGTATCTATTTAAGTAAGTATGTATGTGTATGCGTAAGGCCAGCCACTTTTCGGCAGCGACTGCAACGAACAGCACTGCGCCGATTATCTATGGATGTACATATGTATGTATGTACATATGTATGTATGTACATATGTATGTACATGCAAACATACAATTGTATGCAATGCATATGTAAATATATGTAGATATATACATATACATATGTATGTACGTACATACATCTCATATCAACTAAAGAAATTTCCCAACTTCTTTATTTTTCTGTAGAGATTCTTGAAATAATTTGTAAATATTTTGCTTGCAGCGCATGTAATATATGTATGTACTTACATACATACATAAATATATGCATGCTCGGGCATTTACATATGTATGTAGTTAAAAAAAAAAAAAACGAAATCGCTTTGCTTATCACAAATTTGTAATGGAAAACGAAATCGTACACAAAGTGAAAAAACAGCAACAACAAAAACCAAGAAACGAAATTGAATAAACAAATCGCCAGCACTCACATATTAATGATAATTTGCTGAAGGTTAAATTGTTAATAACAAATCGATGGCGTCGTTTGTTTGGCCTGCCGGGCCAACTGGAAACTGGAGTGTGAACGCTTTTAGCTCGATCCGACTCATAACTGTTGCTAAACAGCGTTAATAACAAATTCACACACCTGTTTATATTCAATTAGTCGGGCAAACATTCGAGCCATGCCAAAAATCGTTCCCATTTTTTTTGAATTGCGCGCCACAGCACGTGCTGCAATTCTTGGCCACATTATGACAGAGAGCGTTGAGTTATTGGTTTGGCCAACTAGCATACATAGATGGCGCCAACTGATCGTCAGTTGGCGCCAGAGCTGCAATATAATAGAAACAAATTACTAAGAATATAATCTGTTGAATATATTGTCTGTTTATATGGTAGGCTGTGTTGAACATGAACTAAAGATGGCGCTAGCACAACACGCATCGTTTGTGCATGGCCTTCAATAGGGCAAACAAGAGATGGCGCCAATACAACGGAACAGTGTCTATACATGGTCTTCAATAAAACGGACAAGAGATGGCGCTAACAAAATAAATGAAGTGTCTCTGCATCAGTTGCAATAGATGGCGCCAGGAAATACTATGCGTATGCTTATGAAATACAAATAAATAGTTATACAAAAATGTTGGAAATTCAATAAAATGAAAACATATAAAAATTTGAAGTGAATAATTTGTAGTGCTAATACAGGAAATCAACTTGATTAAACACTGTTGTAAAAAATCAGAACACGTCAGCACTTCAACATCTTTACTTATTTAAGTTTTATTTATGCATTGTTTTTCGGTTTTGTTTTTGGTTTTTGTTTTGTTTTAAATATACAATTGGGTACATTCAAACATGCATTCAATTTACAAAGTTATCGAGTTTTAAACGTTATTTAAGTTTTATGAATTTAAATTCATTGATAATAATATGCATATTTTTTCTCTTATTTTTTGATGTCTTCTTGTTTTTTTTTTT